CTCAATCTCTTCAACCTTGTCCTCCTTCTCTGTCGCTGGTGGCGCCACCTGGAGGCTCGGTGGCCGCACAGTGTGGCCGACCACGCCCTCCGACGTTTCCGGGAGAGCTGCCTGCTCTTTCGGCTCCACCGGTTTCTCCGCTCTTAGCTCTGGTGCGGCGTTGGCGACTCCAGCATCCACCTCCAAAGACCCAGCTGCTCCCGCCATTGCCCCGGCCATTGCCACCGATTCACCCACCACCGGCGCTAACTATTCTCCACCGCCAAGTACATCAGCAGCGGCGGTCGACTCCTCTGTAGGCCACCGAGCACCTAGGGACTCTGGAATGGGAGCTATCGGCGTCGCCTCCACATCGGGAGCAGTCCCTAGTTGCTCGATGGACTGGAGGGACAGTTTCAAGTCCTCCATACGCCTCGCCCTTCATTAGATAAGCTCGTCAATCGTCGTAACTATAAAGATCCGACAGCAAAGTGATTCCAAGCAATGGAAACTTACATGTTGGCTTCCCGATAGGCATGTTGGAACCGGCGCTGCCTACCTGAGCCCTCAGGCGTGGCCCTAGGGTTGACTCTCATGCCCTGGGGTGGGGGTCTCATGGCCCCTACAGTCGGCCTCTCCTCCGCCTGTCGCTCAGGGACTCCCTTCGCTTGCTGCTGGGGGACTCCCTTCACTTGCTGCCTGAGGACCTCCCCTCCATTCGATTGCACCTCCTCGCGTGTGTTGCCTGGAGGCGCTTTAGTGCTCGGAGGAGGAGCAACTGGAGCCCCATCGTCATCCGACCACTCGGACGTCACCGCACTTCTCGTTCGAGTGGTCTGATCTCCGCCAAGTGAGATGCCTCTTGGCTTGTGGGGGGCGGCACCCACTATCTTCCTCTTCTTCTAGGTCGGCTCATCCATTGCTGCCCTTTTCCCCTAGACTTTCTCCAACACCAAGGGGGGGGGACTATCCGTTCGACCAGTGTCTGCGCCTTCCGATTCCAACAAGGAACTGATGGCACGTTCCTCAGGCTGAGTTGGTGGCCGGGCGTCTACTGCCTACGGCCAGTCGCCGCTCGGCATGCCCAAGAATTACACCACCTGTTCCTGCGAATGGATCTATCCACAAGTGAATCAGTTCACTGCTCAGCAACGATACAGGATAAAAGGTACCAGAAACAAACAGTTGAGACTTTTACCTAAGGCGGCAGATTCGTGCAGTTAAAGGCTCTCGTCTGCTTTGACATGGTGAATGAGGCATTTGGAGCGAATAGCTCTGGGCCCGCTCTAGCACTTCATCCTTCGTCAGCCTCCCCATGCTCTCCTGGGTGCCGTTGGTGTCCCACTTGAAGTCAAAGCCCGGGTGGGCCCTCTCCTTGCATGGATGGATGCGGCGCACTATGAAGCTTGCCGCCACCAGTCCGCCGTTAATCTCCACGCCTTTAATCAGGTTGAGGAGCTCCCTCACTTGCTCCATGTCAGCACTGCTTGACTTCTCCGACCAGCTCTTCTGGCTCTCTAGGATGTGGTCGATGTCGAAGCGGATTGCAGGGTGGCTCTGCTTCATGTAGAACCAACTGGCGTTCCACCCCTTCAGCGAAGTATTTAGCGGTACAGTGATGTACTTGCTCGCCATCCCATCCTGGAGTTGCAGATATACGCCGCCGACCACCTTGGAACCGCCGCCGCCCTTCTTCTTCAACCAGAATAGGTGTCTGAAGAGGTTGAAGTGCAGAAGAACCCCCAGATACGCTTCGCAGAAGTGGATAAAGATTGAGATGTGCAAGATGGTGTTTGGGTGGAGATTGCATAGGCTAACTCTCTAGAACTCCAACAAATCCCTCAGGAAAGGATGAACAGGAAACCCCAACCCATACTAGAAATAATCCTCAAACACTACAGCTTCATCAGTGTGAGGCATCAGGAAGGGCTCACTGCTGGCTGGCCGTCATTCGACGGTGACACGGTCTGGGAGGACACCCGCCTCCACCATCCTGTTGAGCTCCGCATCCTTCGTATGCGATGGCACCCACTCCTCGTCACGGCTTGGTCCGATGGCCGCCTTCTTCGGTTTCACAACTCCCTTCTTCGGCGCCATCTCTCAGATCTGATTTGGGATTGGCAATGGAAGCGCGTATGAATCTAGAAGTGTGAGGGCTAAGGAGGAAGACGAAGTGGCAAAGGTGGGAGCGCGGGGTGCGGCGGCGCAGTTATAAAGCACTCCCCCCACTCTTTCGCATTCGAAGGTTTTTGGGAATCCGCTCCACAAATTGCACGCCTACGAATTCTGCGAAACCGCGTGGTGGGCCGTTACCTGGGCTTTCACGTAACTACAACCCATATCACCCATTTATCGCTGTAATTTGTTACTACTCGCCGAATATTCGCCGATTTCTCCGCCATCTGTTAAGGCTCAGTAACTGTTACTGTACGACCATTACTCTGGTTTTTTCTCCACGGTTTGATTTCTTCGATATTTCCGCTTGTGGCTCAGGGACTATGCCACTACTATGACTTGGCTACTACGCATCGCTACTACAGACAACACATGCACGCCACCGACTGGCACTACCTGTGGGGCTGCTGCGCCATAAATGGCAAAGCTACGGTGCGGGCAGCAGAGGAGGGGGCAAGCCCTCGCCCGTGTAGTGAGGGGACGAGCACACCATGGCGCAGTATCAGCAGCAGCTGCATCACACAGAGCGGTAGGGACAGCAAAGCAGCTACGGCTTGGGGCTCACAGCACAACGCGACGAGTGATAGCGACACAGCGCGGCAGCGGGACGAGATGTCTGTGCGGCAGGGCGCCTAGGGCACCGGGCCGGTGGTGACGGCAACACCGCACGGCAAGGCCAGACGGCCAGACGGTGCGGCAGTGCGCGAGCGCGCGTCCAAGCCCAGCAACACCAAGGCTCTGCGCGATGGTGACCGCGCACACTCGGCCAGGCAACCGAAGCAAGTGTCGTGCACGAATTTTAAAGCATCGACCACTACTAAACCGTTGCTTCTAAGCCAAAACTGTCTTCTCTAAGCACAATGTGGTTTATGAGGCTGCTAAATTGAGCTATAACACCTCATCACTCCTTAACCCAATCTCTTGCAATAATTTGCTAAACACGGCAATGTCTAGCTATTAACATACTTAAAATTTTCCTAAGTTTTTGAGCTGAGTCTTATTTCAAATTGCATTTATAGACAAGTAGAAATATTACTTACCAATATTATTTTTGAACAACAAGTATTTCATTGTCATCTACAAAGTTTGTACTTTAAACTTTATTTAAGTATCACATACATGTTCTATAGCATATTTGCTTAATAAAAATTGGTTTTAAACCCTAAGTGATATAACATGACTATCGAATCAACTTTCGTTTCGCATTTCTGTCGATCGTTTTGAGTTACAGAAATTGATCTACACATTTTATTATATGCATTAACACATAAACATGATGCTCATGACATATTTTAGTAAAAGATTTATGATGTAACACCGAGCGTGTTACACATGGCGGTGCCAGGCACTGGATATGGCGGTGCCAGGCACGTCAGCTAGCCGTTGGTCACTGACAACCAACCATTGGGGTAATATTCATCAGGGAGGTGCATCGCCACCCTGAGGGCAGTGACCAGGATGGTGCCCGTGTCCCCCTTCGCTGCTCTCTGGAATTTTAGGGCGGTGGCACCACCACCTCTTGTCCGGTGCACCGCCACCCCACGGCGGTGACCAGGGCGGTGCACACGGCTCTGTCCGGTGCCCCCCTCTTCTTCCAGCTGCAACAACCCATCTCTGGTGCTACCGCTACGTTTGCTTCCGTTTCTTCGCGTGGCTTTGTTCAGGCTTCGACATCTTCACGTCTTGGACTCTTTGCTTCACTTCTAGGCTGTTAACACCTCCTCCAATGTCTTCTTTTGAGTGTTGATCATTTTCTTCATGTTCCATAGTTGATCCAAGTCCGCGTTGCATCCTATTGAACTATAAAATAAACACTAGAAAGCATATTAGTCCAATTTGGTTGTGTTAATCATCAATCACCAAAATCAAAAGTAAATGGGCCTAGGGTCCATTTTTCTTACATGTGTCCAGTTTTGAGGATTTTATTCAGTAATTGGTGAAAACAAGATGGACTGAAACAATACTGCCCGTTACTTATAGGAGCTGTAGCCATTTGTTGGTCAATATGTCTCGCTAGGAATAATTCGGTTTTTAATAAACCAACCCTAAAATCGTTTTTTTGTGGGTCCTATTCAAGGTGACACATTGGCTATGGTTTTGTGCTCAGTTGCAGCAAACTGAGACCCAAAGAGGGGCCATTATTCAAGCAAGTCGTCCACTAGAGCGGAGGGCATTTGCATTTCTTTGCCTCAAATGGTTGTCATTTTATTTTGCGGATTGTTTCTCAATTTGAAATTCTTGTGTGCAATACGTTTTTCATATTGTAATAATTGTGGACTGATGCCTCTTCCTTGAAGTGGGCTCAAGCAGCAACCTTCATTCCATTATCTAAAGAAAGTGCATAGCTAAAATTATAAATTTTGAAAAGACAAAACACCTTATAATTAATTTGGAATGGAGGGAATAACACCTTGTCAGCACACAACGAATAATGGCAAAAACAACACCAATCAGCGACCATTAATTACTCCCTCCCGTCAAAACATATGTTTTAATCATGTGTGGAGGCGGGTAGATGAATAAATTAAAATGACTAAGCAAGACCATAATAGAAAATCCAATGGAAAGAAGATGCCGAGAGCCTATCATCAGTATATAAAGGGAGGTATGCATATACACATTCATATCATCATAGATAGAAAGTGGAAGCAGAATAAGGTGGTGTGCTCTTCTCGGTGCCTAGTTGGCTAGTTAGTACTGTGTTATTGCACTCACTCTCTCATATAGTTCTGCTCGATTTTAGCTGGCAGGTTAGATGGCGTTCAACGACGATGAGAAGCCTGCTACTACTCCGAATCCGAATGGAGGTATCGTCTTCCGTCAGCCTTCCATTGATGCATGCATCCATGGATGTCAATTCGATCATTGATGTGTGCTTTATGCGTTGCAACGGTATGAGTGGAGTTGCAGTGAACAAACAGGGTCTAGTGACGATGAGGATTCCGAAGTACAGCAAGAAAGATGTGGCTCTCACGGTGGACTCAGTGACGGCAATGGTGGAGATCGAGGCAACATCCTCCACCGCCGTGAGGGAGGGCCTGGACCTGGTGGCGGTGGTGGACGTGAGCGGCAGCATGCGAGGGCACAAGATCGAGAGCGTGAAGAAGGCCCTGCAGTTCGTGATCATGAAGCTTACCCCTGTGGACCGCCTCTCCATCGTCACCTTCGAAAGCAGCGCCAAGAGGCTCACACCGCTACGTTCCATGACCCAAGATGCCCAGAGCGACCTGAAGACAATCGTCGGCCGCCTGGTTGCCGACGGTGGGACCAACATCAAGGCCGGCCTTGACTTGGGACTGGCTGTCCTCGGCGACCGTGTGCTCACGGTGTCCCGCACCGCCAACATCTTCCTCATGTCCGACGGGAAGCCGGAGGGGAAGTCCTCCGGTGACCCGAGGCAAGTCGACCCCGGCGAGGTGTCTGTCTACACCTTTGGTTTCGGCCAGGGCACAGACCACAAGGTATGCAACACTAGCTATTGCTACTCCAACCAATGCTACTGCTACCGGTCGTATCGATCATTACTGCTAGCTAACCAACCTATACCTTGGATTGGATGCATGCCACTGCTATAGCTGCTCACCGACATCGCCAAGAAATCCCCCGGCGGAACGTACAGCACCGTGCCCGACGGGACGAACCTGAGCGCGCCCTTTGCGCAGCTGTTGGGTGGCCTCCTCACCGTGGTGGCGCAGGACGTGCAGCTGACCCTCACCCCAAAGACGGGCGACGGCGACCTGGACACGATGGCGGTGGCCCCCGGAACGGACTACACGCAGACCACCGACGCCAACGGCGTGATCACCATCAAGTTCGGCACCCTCTTCAGTGGAGAGACGCGCAAGGTTGCCGTCAACTTCACTCTCAAGCAAAGCTCCGAGAGCGAGGCCTACAACGCGACCTTAGCCGTCGCGAGGCACAGCTACGCCGCCGAGGAAACGCGGCAGCCAGCCCAGAACATTCAGCGGCTGCGCACCCCGGAGCCGAGCTCTCCTGGCGTCGCCGGCAGCGAGGAGCGGTCGGTGCAGGCTGAGGAGGTACGCCGGCAGCACGCCGACATGATCTGCAAGGCTAGCGAGCTGGCAGATGGCGGGAAACTGGACCGTGCGCGGGATAAGATTATGGACGCCCAGAACGCGCTGGAGGACATCGTGCTGGACGACGGCGACAGGATGGTGAACGCGCTCCGAGCCGAGCTGCTGCGGCTGCTGGAATACATGGAGTCACAGAAGCTCTACAACAAACTGGGCCACCCCTACGCGCTCGCCACCATCATCTCCCATGGTCGCCAGCGTGCCGCTGGAAGGGGCGACGAGGAGGTCATCTCCCTCTACGTCACGCCGCGCATGATCGCCTACCTCGAGCAGGCCAAGAAGTTCGAGGAGAACCCGCAAGCGCCGGTACCCACCGCCGACAAGGACGTCGAGCAGGAGCTGGCTGCCAACCCACTCGCCGCCTTCTCCGCCCCGCTCGCCTTCTACCTGGAAAACGCCATCCAGGCGCTGCAGGCCATCCAGAAGATCATCAGCGCCACCACAATTTGATATTGTTTCGGGTCCAATTCGAATTTACTATCCCCGACGCGCATGCCAAGTTGTTCTTTGTCTTTTCCTATTATATTGTCGTACTACTTATATGTGTATCCAATCCAATAAGCGTCAGCGGCCCCTGAGATGTCCCCGCATTGTGTTTGTTTAATCACTCTGTCTATCTAGCACTTTAATGTAATGAAAGACCTTTTTTAGAGTAACTACAACTCTACAAGAGCATATATATATAAGGGGGTGTTTGGTTTTTACGAGCCCTCCTAAAATTCCTGTCACATCGAATGTTTAGAAACATACCTGGAGTATTAAATATAGACTAATTACGAAACTAATTATATAATTTGCGACTAATTTATGAGACGAATCTTTTAAGCCTAATTAGTCCATGATTTGACAATTTGGTGCTACAGTAAACATGTGCTAATGACAGATTAATTATGCTTAAAAATCATCTCACAAATTAGCCTCCATCTATGTAATAGGTCTTGTAATTAATCTATATTTAATGCTCTTTATTAGTATCTAAACATTCGATGTGACATGAATTTTAGAAGCGACTAAAGAACCAAACACCCCCTAAATTGGATCTCTAAACTGGGTCGCTGAAACTGTTTATACACTCAAAATAGATAATGTCCGCAACATATTCAATAGACCCGTCGAGTAAAATTCACTATCAGTCCACAAAGTTTTCCGAAAGTGTCATGTGTCCCTAAAGTTTCAAAATGCATTTTTAGCTGCCTGAAATTGTAACGAGTCTAACCCAAGTCCAAATGGTTGTTTATCCAACCTGTTATCCTACATGGTAGGTCGATTCAACGCTTACATGGCTCTGACAAATGGGACACACATGTCAAGCAGGAGATGGTGGCAAACCCACTCGCCTCCATCTCCGCCCCGCTTGGCTTCTACCTGGAAAACGCCATCTAGGCGCTTCAGGCCATCCAGAAGCTCATTGCCACCACCACAATTTGATATTGTTTCGGGTCCAATTCGAATTTACTATCCCCGACGCGAATGCTAACTTTTTCTTTATGCCTTTTCACAGCCAAATAAGTTTGATGACCTAAACAAGTGATTTGCAAGTTTAGAGAGCGGGATGACATAGCCGAACATGTTTCAGATCCTAAATGGATGATTTACGAGTTTATGGATCGGGATGACACAGCCAAACAAGTTTGATGACCGCTAGTGGATCTTACTCTTTTAAAATCTACCTAGATATTTTCAAAGTATTTACCACTACCGACAACACTACTAGTATTTATAGTTGTCTAAATGGGTGGCAAGCCCATGGCCTATCCCTGGCATGATTTGCCACGGAACGGCGGGGCATGACACTATCAGGCACGGCCGTGCCGTCGTGGCATGTCGTGCCGTGTCACCATGCCTATGTCGCGGCCCAGGGACGGCACTAGGAGGCTTGAACCATGTTGTGCCGGGTGGCACGATGACCCACAGTGCTCATGCCGGCCTTGGCCTGCTGCGCAAGGCCGCAGATGAAGCACATCATGCCACGCCGCCACACACTATCGTCGTGCCGTGCACCTCGTGACGTCGTCGTGTCATCACCGCCGCTGCAGATCTCGCGCTGCCATCTCCTTCCACGCGCTATCGACCTAGGGAGCCAAGTGGTCGCGGAGCAAGGCGGCCCATGGTGGGGTGGACAAAGGGGAGAGCGGAAGGTGCAGCACCGCCGACGCCGGATCTGCTCTGAGCTCAACTGAGGGTGGAAGGAGGGAGCGTGGCATAGAATGTAGGCGTAGGGAAGACGACACTACCCCAGACAAGCACATAATTGTCGGTTCAAAACCCCCATTCACTACCAGATTTTGAACCGACAGTGGCATACCGGCAATGATGGGGGCTTGACATCACTACTAGTAACTCAAAACCACTAGTGATGTACAGGCAAGAGTATCGGTTCCTGGCGCCACTTGATAGTGTCCAGTTGAACTAACATTGCCGGTTTCTGGCCCAAACCGACAGTCATGGTCAAAGCAACACTGTCGACTGGTGCCTCAAGCCAGCAGTGCTGAGCAAGCCAACACTGTCGGTTGGTGGCCCAACCCGGTAGTGTTGAGCAAGCCATCACTGCCGGCTGGTGGCTCAAGGCGGCTGTGTTGGTTAAGGAAACACTGCCGGCAGGTAGCTCAAGCCGATAGTGATAGCTTCAACAACACTGCCGGTTAGTATTTCAAACCAACAGTGATGTCTTGAGCAACACTGCCGGCTCGTGGATCAAGCCGGCAGTGCCCTCTTTAGCAACGCAGACGGTTTTGTGCTAACCGGCAGCGATCTCTTTTTCGTATTTTATCGTTTTATAATTTATTTTATTTTGTTTTATTTTTTGTGGAATCAGGTTTCGCTTTATATTCACTACGTAGTCGACAGGTCCATCAACATTAAACATACAAATGTTATGATTACAGTTCAAATGTACTTATCAAGATCTCGATCCTTCAAAATAAAAAAGAAGTTATAATAGTCTAGCGAGCCACTCTAGCCCGTACTGGTCCTTGAACTTCACAAACTGTGCAATGAAGAATGTTCTGTTATATTCCAATACCTTGGCTAGGATGAAGGCTGCTAAGTCCGATGACAGTGCTAAGATCTTCATGTCTAACAGCCTTTGGTGTTTAAATTTCTTGCGCTGTCATTGAAAAAAGATGATATCGAAAGGCACAAATATAAGAGATAACAGTAGATTGTTTTGTTGAATTAACGAACATAAATGAAATGGGGAGTATACACACCAAAGCATCTGCTTGCTCTGATTTTACGCCGAGGTAGTGAAGCATTGCCCATATTACGTAAAACCCACATGCATTGCTTCTCGCCGGTTGGTTTATGGTCTCCAATTGCATTGGTGCAACCTAGAATGTGACCTTCGTCCCACCGATCATTCTTCCCTAGATACTGTGCCACATTATAAAGTGTGAAAAAGGGGCAACATTAGAATGTGCTATGTGCGATTACAAAATAATATGTTATTAGGTTCATTTACTCATTCAGCACTTTGATTAGCAGATCGAGCAAAGAAAATTCATTTTCCCTCGAGTCCCACACCTCGATACGATTTTTGCGAATATTGATAACAATGAAGACGAAATGGTTGCTGCAATCATAAAATTCTAGTTATTAATGAATAATTGTAACTAAAAAAGAAGCATAAAATAAGAGCAGAAAACACATACTTGTAGTTGTAGGCTAGAAGTATTTCGGTTTTATTATTCATCTTGAAAGCTTTGAAAACGACAACTAATGTTACTGCCAGATCTTCCACTTTATTTCCATACGTGCCTCCGCATGTTTTCTTGTTGACTAGCCTAGGGTCCAAGAAAGCTATATGAGCGTTTTTTTTCTGTTTAAGCAATATTATTTTGGTCGTGTGGTCATCAATCACAAAATGGGGGAGATTGTAAGGAAAATGGACCCTTGGCCCATTTAGTTTGGATTTTGATATTTGATAAACAACATGACCATTTGGACTAATGTTGTTTGCTAATATACAAGGTATAGTTCAAATGGATGCAAGGTGGACTTTGACTTAGGCAACGAGGTGATCCGGATGATCAACACCTCAAAAAAGACATTAGAAGCTTTTTTAAGACCTGCAAGACATGCTAGAAGTCCAAGACACCAAGAAGTAGAAGCGTGGACACAAATAGAGAAACAAAGATGAAGCCACTTAAGCCAAGAAAAAGAGGTGAGTGAATTGGAATTTTCTTATGATTTGGGATCTGCTCAAATTGGCATGACACCAGCTCAAAGATGTAGAGCTTTTCATTAGCTTTCCAAAAAGTCCAAGATCACCCAAATCGGAGTTTAGAGCTAAATGTTACGCCCAAAATACGGAGGTGTGTCTTTGCTGGAAATTGAGCGTCGGACGGTCCGATGCTAATGGTCTGGCGCCCCTATCTTTGGTCTGACGCTCCCTGGACTAAAGTGAACAATGGCACCATATAGTCCAACGCTAATGGTCCGATGCTCCTAGAATTGCTAGTTTCAATGATAACCTGCAGAAAGAGTCGGACTCTGTCGCAATGGTCCGACGGTCCATCAAAGTACGATCTGTAGAAAGGGTGATCTTGTCCCTAACGGTCATATCTTTGTTTGGGGCTATAAATAGGACCTCAAATCAGCCAAATGAGGTGTGGAGTGAGGAAACATACCAAGAGTATTGCTACACCATCTTAGAGCTCTCTACATGCATAGTGCTTAGTGATACACTCGGTGATTAGCGTACGTGCATTGCAAAGTGCTTAGGTTAGTTAGACAACACTCATATGTGCTTGCTCTAGGTTTAGGCCTAGTGCTTAGTGAGGTTTGCATACCTCCAACCACTCGGTGCTTGCACGCACCATTTTTGTACTCGGCGGGGCTTGTGGTCTTGCGAGACCACACCAACAGTGTTTGCGGTGCGGCCGCCACCGTGTACGGGAAGGGAACAAGACCCGCAGCATCAGAGAAAGGCACATCGGAGACCCACTTACGCATGGGGAAGGCCCGAGGCTATCCATGAAGTTACCCGACCGGGACCTTGGTCCTTGCGAGGGATTCCTTGTGAGGGGCTTCAATGAGGACTAGGGGAAGCTTGATCGCTTCTCGATACCTCGGTAAAACTACTGGAGTCATCGATGGGAGTTTGCATCTCTACCTTATCTTTACCTTCCGTATTTATATTACGTACCTTGTTTTTGTGCTTACTTTCCTAGCTTAGTTTGATAGGCTAGTTGATAGGATTCGAACATAGGGTGCATAACTCTTTTGCGGTAGAGATAGCAACACATCTAGCAAATCCTTAGTTGCACATTTAAATAGATGACCTTCTTGCATAGGTTTGGACTAGGTGGAATTAGAGGCCATAGTTAGAAGTAGACTTTCAAGATGCCTAATTCACCCCCGTTAGGGGCACGGTCCCTTACACCGGGTGGTGCGAATCTTCGCGAGTAGGGACGCGCGGCACGGGCGGGGCGTGTCGTTCGGACGGACGG